TGCATTACCAACACTCAACTTATCTGTGTATGGTGTCAGTGATGCTAGCAATAGCAGTGGATACAGAATGTTGAAAGAAGGAAGCTGAAAGTATAATAATGGGTGACAAGCACTGGAGGTGTACGGCCAAAGCAAAAGTGCATGTAGAAAGCATTATCTACCCTTGCAAGGATTTTAGCATTTCTCAATCTCAATCTCAGTAGTAATGCGCAGGGTGCTGATAAGCGCATATCACGCATATTAGGGGCATTTCAGGGGCATTTTCTAAGCACTTATGGCTCAGTGGACTAAGCACCTGAGTACTGCAATTGTGTTTGGGAGTTCAAGCCTCCCTGGTGCTACAAGGGAATTGGACTCCAATGATTGCTAGCACAGGGGGAGAGACCAGTATGGAAAGTATGGCAGATGCACAGCCGAGATTCTTGTTTGAGGTCCTGGTTGCACACCTGAGGGATTTACGGTAGTCAACTTTCAAAATAATTATGTAAAATCAATATGGAATGAGGAATTTATGAATAGTTTAAAGTCCTTCAAGCATTTTGTTATCTGAAAAGTTTTGGGATGTAAACTCTTAAAGTGAATACGTAACTGTTGAACACTGCACACTTCAATTTTTTTCATGTATACCTGAGATCTAGTCAAAAAGTGCTGTTCTCTCCATACTGGGGGAGAGATGGGGACTTAAAGTATCTATAAATTGAGGCTATGCATCCTCAGATGCCCACCTTCTTGTTATTGGTATTAGTATTGTTATTGTTTATTGTTTTTATTATATTTTTAATATTTTATTTATTTATTTATTTATTTGTTATCTTTTTTTTCCATTTTACTTCATTTCATTTCATTTTATTGTATATTTTGTTTTGTTTTTTATTATCTTTTATTATATTCCCATTCAATTAAGTTTATTTTAATTTGTTTTACTTTATTTTAATATTAAATTTGATTCAATCTAATTTAATGGGGACTAAGTCCCCAACTTCACATTAAAAAATATATTCATAAGTCTAGGTGGCCATGACTGCGCGTGCCCTTCAGGCGCTGCCCGAGGGGAGGGTTGATGAGTGGCTCTGCCCCCCAACCCCCCCGGGAAACATTGTCTTCAACTTGGCATGCCTGGCAAGACAGAGCTGGAACTTGGACGCACTAAGAGGACTTAAGCAGAGAGTGATGCTTTCCGTGATCTTTTACCTTTTTTGTTACTGTTCGGGTCTGCAGATTATTTCTTTCACTGACTACCACAAGTTTTTGTTCTCCACAAGAGTATCATATTAAATTTACCCGAACTTAGTGCATCCGTAAAGATTAAAATTGTTTAATATATATGTATATATATATTTTTTTTTTTTGTTTATTTTATTTTACTTCATTTTTTATTCTATTTTGTTTTGTTTTTTGTTTCTTGTTTTATTCTTTATTTTATTTTATTTTATGTTATTTATTTTATTAGTTAATTTTATTTTATTATAGTTTTTTGTTTTACTCAATTTTATTGTTTTATTTTATTTTGTTTTATTCTGTTCTATTCTGTTTTGTATTTCATTTTACATAATTTGATTTCATTGTGTTGTATTTTGTGATTTTATTTTTTATTTATTTAATTTTGATATACTCTATTTTATTTTATTCTATTCTATTCCTTTCTGTTTTGTTTTGTTTTATTTATTTTTTTATTGTTTTATTTTATTCTATTCTAATCTGTTCTGTTTTCTTTTCTTTTCTTTTATATTCTATTTTATTTATTAGTTTTGTTTTGATTTGATTGAATTTATTTTCATTTTCTTTTCTCTTCTCTTTTTCTTTTCTTTCCTCCTTTTCTTTTTCCTTTTTTTGTTTTATTTTATTTGTTTTATTCCAATTTAATTTGATTAGATTTGATTTTTTTTTTTTCTTTTTTATCGTATTTGTATTGATTCTATTCTATTTGATTCTAATCTATTTTATTTTGTTCTGTTCTATTCCTTTTCATTCTCATTGTATTTGTATCATTGTCATTATCATTATCTTTGTTGTGTGTTGGTCAGAGCTGTGACGTGGTATCAGTAGGAGATAAAGACACTTATAGCTTGAGTAAGGAAAAAGATAGATATACAATATTCATGAGACTTTGATTGTGACTTTGACTTTGACTAATAGTTTGTGATCATATTTAGCACAAGCATATTTACATTATTACCTGGATCTTTCTGTATGTCATGTAGTACTTTGATCATGTATTATTTTGTTATTTGAGAGAGTGCGTGAAGAGTGAGAGAGTGAGAGAGTGAGATGACACTCGGGTCCACAAGTGCTTGCAACCTCGCCTGATACTCCCTTATCTTAATCTTTTGAATTTTTTTTTTTGGTAATGCAATTTACATTGATGATGTTATTATTATTACAGACATTATAATCACTATAATGTTGATACTACTAAAAGTAGTATACAATAAAAGGGAATATTTCTGGAAATCAAGGAAAAGGATAAGCAATTGAGATAGGTAATTGACTCCTTGGTGGCTGAGCATTTGTGGAGCCATGTATATGTGTAACAATTGATAAACTAAACGCTGTGGGAATGACATGTATGGACATGCCAGCTTCATTGGCATTGGGTTAAACTAATGAGAAAAATGCCAGAGTTTTGGCCATATTTTCACCTTACTGATGCTGCTACTAGTACTCAGAATAGCCAATGTTTGTTTATTTGTTTGTTTTGTGTGCGTTTTTTATGGGTGTATGTGTATACCAATAAGATGTATTTGGATGTTTTTGCTCTTTAAGTGGTATTCGGTAATAATTGAAGTAATTGTATGACTGCTTGTGTTTTATGATTTAAATATTGGCAGTTACGGCCGCTGTATCCGCTTATCCATATTCTAGAGTTACAGCAGTCCACTGAGCATGTGCATAATCTGGTCACTTTGACAATTACCTTCCTTTAATGAGGCCATTTCCCATTTCCAACCTAACCCAACCACCTAACCTAATCAACCTAATCTAACTTAACCTAACTGGTTAGGATAGCTTGGATAGGTTTGGTTAGGTTAGGTTGGTTATTGGCGTTGCCTGTCATTTTTGTAGAATGCGAAACCGGAACCCAAACATGCATGCACATGCTCAAAAGGCACTGCTGTAACACTAGTGCAGTTGGTGCTGATTATGGCTGTTGTAACATCAGACAGTGCATAAAAAACATTTATTTCAGCGTAAATGAACCTGGTGTTTCTTCTCTAGAGTTTGCAACAATGAAGATCCAGTTTGGTGAGAAGGGAGAAGTACCATGGGATGTGTTGCTAGAAGCAGTACAGAATGAACAGAGACAGCAAGAATCAGAACAGTTCCAAAATCGTAAAAGTCTGTGCTCAAGGTACGATTGTTTTCATGTCTTTCTAATTTGATGATTCTTTTTACATTTGGATTATATAACGATTTATGTAATTCTTCATATTTTAATATTAATTCTATTTTATCCCCCTAGGATTCGTAAAAGATGCTGCGATTCATGGCTTACTCTTGCAATCCTTGTGAGTGTTGTGTTAGCAGCACAAGCTTGGGTTCTTCTATACTTTACGATGGGCTGTGCCTCCGTCTATAAGCTTGGTTGTGATTATTCAGACGAAGCTTGGGTTCTTCTATCTTTACGATGGGTGTGTTTCACTTGCTGTCGTTCTTATAAAATCCAGGTGTTGGTGGATAACCATGTCGGTATTTGGTTATTGTGATAAGCGAAGCTGGAAATAGAGGTGTATGTATCAGTGTTAGGGTGAATAGTGTTTAACTAAGTAATATCGTTTGTCACTATGATTTTTTATGGATTGTTTTTGTGATTTTATGAATTTTTCTAAAGTGAGTGTATTGGTGATAAATGAGCTATTAGGCAAGTTTTTTTATGGATGTTGATAGTAATAGTTTGTGACTGGATATTTATGAAGGTTCGTTGTTATGTGGTAATCTTTTTTTACACTTAGGTTGGCTAATGTTAGATACATTGTGTATCATTTGCTGTTGAATGTAATATTTTTAGGTTGGTATGTGGTAGATGTTTGTAGTGTGAGTTATGTAGTTGTTGTGAAATGTTCATATTAATTGTCATTGCTATATTACGTTTCAGCTCCGCCTGTCATTTCTCATGTGTGTCAAGTTGTGATGATGTGAATCTTGTACGCCAGAAAGGTAGGAAGATCGATGGAAATTGTTTATGAATTTGATATGCTTGTGTGTGGATAGAATGGATAATTAATGAGTGGGTTGTATGTGAATATATTGTTTGTATGTGTTGTTAGTGTTGTGTATCATGTGCAGTGTGTGATGTACTGATGTAAGTGATGTGCTGATGACTGTTCACTAGCACTACTAGTGTGATATGGAACAGTTAGTTACTTGCTGATGTTACTTGCTATTTTGCTATGCTGGGATATGTATCGTGTGACTGTTTTTAGTGGTTTGATGTAAGTGGTATGTTTTTACTTGTGTGTAGTCGTGTAAGTGTTAGTTTGTGTATGTCTATAGTCTGCTGAGTTAATTAGTGTTGCCTGATGTTCATTGTGTGCGTGTGTACTGATTGTCTAGCTACTACTGCTGTTACCTACTATCTATACTACTGCCACTACTACCAACACACCTGATGTTGTATCTTAATGTGACATGCTACTACTTAGCACTACTAGCAATCTGATCTACCGCACTTGTGTGTGTGATGCTTATGATATCGTGTACCATACTACTACCACTACACTACCACTTACTTACTACCACTACAACACCCTATGTGTGTAGTGCGTTGTGACCACTACTACCTACTCACTACTGACCACTACTATCCGACTACTACTACACTGTGAGCTTACTTGTACCACTACTACTACCGACTACTATTACCACTACTACCAGCTACTACTCCACTATATACCCTACTACACTACTACTACCCACTATACTCCACTACTACCACTACTACCACTACTCACTACCACTTACTACACCACTACTACTGATCGCTCGATCTGTCTTGTAACTGTATCCCTGTAGTGCTTGTACATAGTTAGCGCTAGCTTGACTACCACTTGATCGTATCGTGTGGACTGGATGTGTATCATCTGTGTGACTACTATACCACTACCTACCATACCTACCTACTTTACTACCACTACTTACCCACTTGATGTACCCACTATGTTAGATCTATACCTATGTGACGTTGTGTCTAATCTACCTGTCGTGTGTGTGTAGTCTAATGTGATGCGTCTGCTGATGCTGCTACTCGTCATGTACTACTTACTACACGTACTACTACCCTACACTACATACTATTACCACTTATACTACCACACTACTAACCACTACTACCACTACTACCACTCTACCACTACTTACTACCCTACTTACCACTACTACTACCCACTATACTACCAGACTTACTACCACTGACTACCACCTACTACCACTTGGTGTGTATGTGCTACACGACCGCTTACCTACCACTACTTACTAACCACTGTACTCTATCGCATCTACGACTACCACTACTACTATCACTATCTGACTACTCGTACTTACTATCAGCTTGATACGTCTGCCACTTACTAACTACCACTACGACTTCCACTACTACCACTTAGCTACACTACTACTACCACTGACTACTACCACACTACTACTACTACTACACTACTACTACTACTACACTACTACTACACTACACTACTACCACTACTACTACCGCTACTACACTACTACTACACTACTACTACCATACTACTACCACTACTTACTACTACACACTACTACCCTACTACTACTACACACTACACTACTACTACTACTACTACTACTACTACTACTTACACTACTACTACTACTACTACACACTACTACTACCAAGACTACTACCACTACTACACACTACTACACTACTACACTACCTACTACTACTACTATACCACTTAACTACACTACTACTACTACTACTACTACTACTACTACTACTACTACTATACTACTACTACTACCACTACTACTACCACTACTACCACTACTACTACCACTACTACCACTACTACTACCACTACTACTACCACTACTACTACCACTCTGACTACTTACCACTATACTACCACTACTTACTAACCGATCTAGCTACATACCACTGACCCACGTACTAACTTACCACTAGACTGACATACCACTACTGGTCATGAGCCAACTAGCTACTACCAAGGTGTTACTAACGCGCACATACTACTACCAAACTGATAACTACTCTACTATGTATAACTAATACTATACTACATACTACATATGTAACTGTAACTACATACTTAACTAGAGACTACCTGACTACCACTACCGAAGAACATGAGCTTATTACTACTTTACTACTACAGTATCTTAAATATACACTACTACTACTACGTAAATAGATAGACATACTTACATACTACTAGTGTTAGCTGTGTGTATTAGTATGGTGATTACCTGCTGCACTATGCCATAATATACTGCTACTGACGAATTAATCGACTGATTAATGCTAACTAAAACATAAGACTGTCTGCAGGTGATTATTATACTATTCTATTACTGATAGGAAGAGACTGACCAGCTACTGTTACTGATACACAAAGCTGCAAGGACGATCTACAGCAGTAACACTAAGAGCTAAAACGCTGGCTACTACTGCATGACTAGTGTTGACTACTGCTGACAACTGCTGAACTGGACTGCCTATGAACTACTGAGCTAGAGCTTACTACTGAACTACTACTACAACTACTGGGTAAACTACTACAACTACTACTACGACTACTACTACTTACTACTACTTACTGCTGCTGCTGCTGCTGCTGCTGCTGCTGCTGCTGCTGCTGTACTGCTGCTGCTACTGCTACTGCTACTGCTACTGCTACTGCTACTGCTACTGCTACTACTACTACTACTACTACTACTAACTGACTACTACTACTACACTGCATACCATCACTACTACTATTACTTTTACTATTACCACAACCACTACCACAACTGCCACTGCCATTACCACTACCATTACCATTACCCCAACCACCACAACTGCCATTACCATTACCATTACCACTATTGCAGCAAAAACCATCATCATTACCACTATCACTACCACTGTAGTTACCATTACTGCTATCGCTACTGTCAATTTTTACAAGTATGTATCCTTTTGGAATATTGGCACTGACAATACCCATTAATGTTTAAATTAATTTTTTCCAGCTGAGTAAACTACGAGTGAGCCCAGACCCAGTATTGATCGAAGGGAATATAACAGTGGACCTGAACTCTTATCTTGGAGTGAATGTTGATGCGCCAATCTCGGTAAGTTTATAGATGCATTATGAGTGTATTTGTTATATGCTACTATTTCTTCAATCTTTGTAAAGAACTGTTGGTAGAAGTGGAAAGAGCTGTGACTGAAATATAAAAGACAAATAATTAAATTAGGGGTTTTGTAGTTGAGGACATAATTTGGCTATTTTCATCCAGGCTGACGTGAAGGTTGAACGCCGCCTTGCTGGTCTGGGTGGATGGAGGTGCCATGCATTGCTGGTCTTGGGTCATGTCACTATGAAGATGTGTGCGAGTTGGTTCCATTTCCTCCTGCTGAGCCTTGTCCAGACCCATTCCCTAGGTTCAAATTGCCATGCAGATGTCCATTCACAAAGGTAGGATGTTCTAGTTAATACATGTGTCTTTTTTTTGTGTAGTAGACTTAAAAAGGAAAAATAATATTTGCGTATAGTATTGCCATTATATGATATGAATCATGTTTATTGTATGATATCTTTAAGAAACAACAGTTGTGAAATTTATTTATTTGATTTATTTTATTATTCTTATTTAAAACTAATGCACAATTTTATGTTATCCAGGGACATTATGTTGTGAAAGATGGAGTCTTTAACATCCCAGGGATTTTGAACATAATTCCTGGATGGTTAGTGTCTGGTGACTACTACGTAAGTGGTGTTGGTTACCAGAATGGGAAGAGGCTTGGCTGCTATTCAGTGTACGCATCTATTACGGACTAATGCTTTCAACGCCATGATTGTTTTTGAATTTATATTGTGATAAGTCAATCATCCTCTATGAGTGAGAGGTACATGTGTACCAGGAGTTTAAAAATTTGTGCTTAATGGAAAAAAGTATATTTTTAAGGATATGATATTGACTTTTTGGTATAGATATGAGATTTTAAATGTGGGGAAATTAATAACCACAGTTACTGGTATATTTTTACCCTTGTATTTTACATATTTGCTTATATAGTTAGATGATGAGAACAGGAAATGGTATGAGGACATGCAGGATGTTTATTTTTTCAGATATGTAGGCTTTTTATTTAGGTTGTTGCTATTAAAGCAACAACTGATTTTAATGAAGCTTAGAGTGTGTATTGTATGCTTGTTAGCCAGTTTGTGGTAAATTTGTCAATAGAACAAAATGTTTCCGTACTCTTAAATAAGGTTTATGTATAATTAAACACACAGATGCACACACACACACACGCACACGCACACGCAACACGCACGCAAACGCAAACGCACAACAACACACCAAACACCACACACAACACAGAAAACACACAAACACACACACACACACACACCACACACACACAACACACACACACACACACACACACACACACACACACACACACACACACAACACACACACAACACACACACACACACACACACACACACACACACAAATACATATATTCTATTATCATATATACATATATACATATATACATATATACATATATTACATATATTCATATTCATATATTCATATATTCATATATACATATAATACATAAATACATATATACATATAAACATATAAATATAAACATATAAATATATATATATATTATATATATATATATATATATATAATATATAATATATATATATAATTAATAATATAATATAAATATATATTTACACAACAACACACACACACACACACACACACACACACCACACACAACACACACACACACCACACACACACAACACAAACAGCATTAATATATATACATATGTATGTATGATGAAAATTATCTAGCCACTTAAATGTATACTGGGAATATGAAAAACCTATGGCAAAAGTGACAATATTTTATGAATTCGTGTATAAAGAGATATGTAAATATTATCATAAAAAATCTTTTGCTCTTGTTACAATTAGGAATTGTCAAAAAAAAAAAAAAAAAAAAAAAAAATTAAGGGGTTTAATCCTTTATAACTATATGCTATTGCTTGGCAATTTGCAAAATATTTAGTGACTGAAAGTCACAGTAGGCTTTTGTATGTGTTTTTTTAAGCAGCCTTTTTGAAATTTTAGTTCGGAAAAGAAGTTTACTAGATATTTCACTTAACTGATGTGAGAGTTCAGTAGAAATGTGGACAACTATCTTTAAATAGGGTGACATAATCAAGTGTATACACTAGACACTAGGTATTGATGTTCCTAAGAGACTGTGTATTTTATTAGATAATTTTCATAGTCAAGTGATCAATTTGTTTGTCATATGGAAAGGATTATGAGCATTCATTTGAACTTTTTAGAATCACTTTTCCCTTTTTGAGACCAAACCATAAAGAAATAATTTCTTGTGAGTGATGTACTTACTAAGTTGCTTCACTTTGTTTTGATTTCTACTAACTTTATACTATAGTATATTTATAGATTTTAATTTTGGTGTGTGGTTTTAACAGTATATAGGAAAGATGACCAAAAGCAGCAGTAATGAGTGTTAGCAAACTCATAATATGAAGAAATAACACTTTCCATATAAGGCTGCTTTTGTGTGGCAACATGTTCAAAAGAAAACTGGGAAATCCCATTTTGCTCATACTTAAAACTAATCTCAGGTTTGATGTCAGTGTTTCATAAAGTATATTCGGCAGGGTGATTATATTTTACACTCATTTATCAATAAATCACTAAACTAATCAACGAGTTATTACTACCCTGAGTTTCTGCAGAGGTTATCTTGAAACCATTTACATTTGATTATACTTTGAGATATGGTACCAGTGTGAAGATACTTATTTCTTATTATTTAATGCAACTGTTAGTGAAAGTAAATACGTTTAACGCTTTTAATGCCATACTTTGTTAGTTTATTCAGTTTTCTCCTGATTTTTCTCTTTTTTTTTTACTATCAAAAAAGCCAACTTTAGTAAAAATATGAATTTACAATTATTACTTTTGATGCTATAGTTACATATGAGGAAGCAATAAGAGTAATGTAGAAATAAGAGTAATGAAGATAATGCTGAGATTCATAATAATGATAATGATTATGATAGTAATGGTATTTACAATGATGATAAGACTAATGAAAATAGGGATACTACTACTACTACTACTAACTACCACTACCCTACTACTACTACTACTACTACTACTACTACTACTACTACTACTACTACTACTACTACTACTACTACTACTACTACTACTACTACTACTACTACTACTATCACTACTACCACTACAACGACTACTACTACTAATACTACTACTAGTACTACTACTAGTAGTACTACCACCACTACCACTGCTACTACGGCTACCACTACTACTCTTATTACCATTACTACTACTACTACTGCTACTAATACTAAAACTACAACCACTACAACTACTACTACTACTACTACTACTACTACTACTACTACTACTACTACTACTACTACTACTACTACTACTACTACTACTACTACTACTACTACTACTACTACTACTACTACTACTACCACCACCACCACCACCACCACTATTACTACTACTACTACTACTAGCACTACTGCAACTACTGATACCACTATTACCAGTAGTATTACTGCTACCACCACCACTACTACTACTACTTTAACTATTGATACTGCTAATACCAGTACTGCTACTACTATTACCATTTATACTACTACTGCTTACACTAGTACTACTATTGCTACTACCACAACTACTATTAATAATGTATGATGATAATGAATAAGATAGTTTGAGATAATGATAATATATGCCAATTGGTAATAATGATGATGAGAATTATAGAAAATAATAATAAATGATAATTGTAATCATAATACTTATGCTGATAAAAAAACAATGGTAAAAACAACAACAATGTAATAACAACAATGACAATTTACTATGAATATTATTATTATATTATATTATTATTATTATTATTATTATTTATTATTATTATTATTATTATTATATATGTACTTATTTATTATCATCATTATATATTACTATTATTATTGTATTATATTATTTATTATTATCATTATTATTATTATTATTTATTTTATTATATATTATTATTATTATTATTATTATTATTATATATTATATTATTATATTATTTATTATTATTATATTATGATTATTATCATTATTATTGTTTCTGTTATTATTAATATTATCATTATTATTATCATTATTAATATTATTGCTGCTATTACAACGATGATGATAAGATAATGATAATAATAATAGTTATAAATATGATTTAATGATTAATGATATGATAATGACTAATGAAATAATAGGAATGATAACAATAAAGATAATGATAATGATAATAATGATGACAACAATAATAATAATAAACTAACAATGAAAATAATAATGTTAATGACAGTGATGCTAATAATGAATGATATATGAATAATATGAATGATAATAAAAAAATGAAATATATATTGATAATAACAATGATAATGATAATGTTGATAATAATTGAATAGAAATGATAATAAATTTTGATGTAGCAATAACGATATTGATAATAACTATAATATTGATAATAATGATAATAATAATGATGGTGATAATGAAAATAATAATGATAATGATAATAATAGTAATGATAAAGATATCAATAATAGTAGTAGTAATAATAATGATAATATTACTACTACTAATAGTATCAATAATAATAATGATAATGATAATGATAATAATAATAACGATAAATGTGATAATAATGATGATAAAAATAATGATGATATTAATAATGATGATAATAATAGTGATAATGATTATGATGATTATAATAATGGTAATAGATATAATAATGGATAAATAATAATAATAATGAACAAACAAACATTGATAATATTCATAATAAAGATGATGATAATAATGACAGTGATACTACTAATGCTATCACTATCACAGCTGGTACCACTACTTGCATTACTAATGATAATGATAATAATAATAATAATAATAATAATAATAATAATAATAATAATAATAATAATAATAATAATAATAATAATAATAATAATAATAATAATAATAATAATAATAATAATGATAATAATAATAATGACAATGATAATAATAGTAATAGTAATAATGATGATGATGATGATGATGATGATAATGATAATGATAATGATGATGATGATGATGATGATGATGATAATAGTAATAATAATGCTGATAATGATGATAAAAACATTTATGATACCCACGATAATGATAGTAATAGTGATAATAATGATAATGATAATAAAATGATAAAAATGACGATGACAGCAATAATGATGATATTGACGATAATAATAATGATAATGATATAATGATAACGATAAATGACAGCAATAAATAGATAATGAGTGATAATAGTAATAACGACAATTGACAATAAAAGGCAAAAGTTAAATATCATAGATGAGGACAATGATCCTGATGATGATAAGGATGATATTCATAAAATCCACCGTCGTAAGTGGATTCCTCTGGATCCAAAATAGAGGAAATCGATGTTTGTTTACGTTCGTCCGGAGTGTAAGCGACCTGCTCTTCAGTGCCTAGTAACGCCCGAGGGGAAAGTAGTGCATCTTTTAGACACCAAAAGACCTTCCGATAAAGATCAGGAATAACAGACACTATAAGAACGTCGTGGAAACCTGAAGAAGTGGATCTAGAGAATTTAGACAACGGCGCTGCGTGAGATTATCCTAAAGAAGAAGAGAAAAAAGAAGAAAAAAGAACTAAGGATCTGAGTCAGCGAAGGACGTGACAGGCACTCTCTCTCTCTCTCTGTGTCACTTGTCATAAGTGACGCGTGTCATTCTTGTTTGTTTTGAATTTTATCGCCATTTAATGAGAAGAAGAACGAGGCTTGAGGGAGGAGGCTGCAGGCGCGAGTGTTATGAGTGACAGTGACAGGTGATGGTCGTAATATTAGGTCGTTCGTACGTGTTACTCATATCTTTTGTGGTTTTCTTTTTGTGGTTTTGTTTTGCTTTGTTGGCATCGTGGTTTGGTGAGTGAAGTGTAGTTTTCTTTTAAGGGTTCGTGGATAGTGTGTTGGTATTCTGGCTCACTACTAAAGACTTGGGCGCTTGTTTGTGTGCATGGTAGTGAAGTGAACATGTGGGAAATAGATAGCAGGGTCAAAAGACAAGGTGTGGTAAAAACACACAGACATGCAACCCAGACACAGAGCATAGACAGTAGGAACGGACACACACACACGAAAACCACCAGCAGGCAACATACGGCAAACAGCAACTCTCACATAGCAGTGCACACGACATCTCAGGCATGACACGACAAACTTTGAGACATTAGACCAGACACTCTGAACATACACACAAGGAGCGACTACGGACACAGCGACACATACACAATCGGCAAAGCAAAGCACACAACGCACGACAACGCACACCACACACACACACACAACACGACTACACACAGACACACGATCACAAACACACAGGCACACAACATAGCACACATATACACTGGCAAAGAGGTAGAAGAACACACATAGCACAGCAATAGGACACATTGACCAGATACAATCCATATCATCGTGCGACGACACGTAGCAGAACAGCGCAACACAAACACACCACGAGCAAGGCATACACACGACGACACAACAGCAGTGAGACACAGACACACACGAGACATGACACGCAACACCACACACACACACACACACACACACACAGCACACACACAAACAACACAACAGTAAACAGCAGACAGCATCCACACAGACCACAACAAGGCAAGCACGACGAGCAGCAACACACACAACACACCAGCGAGCACACACCACCACCACGGGACACTACAACACTAGCAGCGACACACACACAACGACCGGACACATCAAACTCACGTAAACAAACACCAAGCCAACAAGGACAGCACTCACACATCACCCCAGCAACACTCAGAACCGAACACACACCACCACCAAAAACATCCATACCAATTCTAACACACTAAGCACAGGACATAAGCGGATATGGAATACTCCACCCGATGACATATATAACCCGGATAATACAGAGTTCAGTGTGAGAGTGATAGGGTGTATATATATAATATATAGTATATATAAGAAAAGGAGGATTAGTAATGTATATAGTATTGTGAGAATTCGGATGTTGAACATAGTATGAAATAGGATAGCACGAAGCGAAGGGAGAGGGAAGAGAGAAGACACCGGAAGGGATATGCCGTTAGTGCGTGTAGGATACTTTCAGTTGCGCTCTAGCTTCCCTATCGTCTGTATGCTGAATCAAGTGAATGATGGTAGAAGAAAAATGATATAGTAGGCTGTAGTATCATGTAATGTAGTATGGGAGATGTAGGGTGATTTATGAGTGTATAGATAGATAGTATGGTTGAGTGTAATAGTGTGGATATATATGTAGTGGAAGTAGAGTAGAATGATGATATTGGATAATAGGTTATATGAGAGTGTATATATAATAGATAGGTTATGTATAGTTAATAATATATTGATAGTATAGTATTATTAAGGATGGAATATAGTGATGTATAGTTGTTATTATTGGATTTATATATAGGAAAGATAGTAGTAAGTAATATATGATATAAAAGTAGTTGATGAGATAGGTGTTGATATATATTATAGATATAGGTATATTATATATATTAATTGGAGTAAAAGAGGAGGTAGTGATAGTTGGCAGAATATAGGAGTTACATAGAGGATATAGGTAATAAGAGTATGAGAGTATAATAGTAGTAAGGTGGATATATAAATATATATATAATTATGTTATAAATAGTGGAATATATATATATTATCACGTAGAGACACGATATTACAAGCACATACAACCACACATAGAGTGAATATGAGATTATATATTATAGTGATATATATATAGATATATATAATTAATATACTATGTATAAGGTATAGTATAATGTATGTATCGTCATATAGTGTATATAAAGGACACCTGCAATGTAAGAATGCTCTAATTCTACATATAAGTATACTTTAATTAAGTGACTATTCTCACAGATATAAGTGCTGTGGTATGTCTTTTGCTAAAATGTATTATTTAGTGCCATGCAATTTGCTCTGTTGACTTCTGGGAACCTGTGATCCTATCAATTAGATTTTTAAATGGTTGAATGTTTGTGTGTATTCTTACCAAATTCAATCTAATATCCCAAAAACAATAGAAAAGATGGTACACTGCTGGAGGTATGAGTATTTGTACTCATATTACGATTTTTTTGAATTGCCAAATGATAAGAAAAAGGATGGTTATAAAATACAATGTTTTGTAGACTCATTCCATAAGCTTAATAGAGACAGGTTTTGTATTTTGATTTTTATTCAAGAATATATCTTTAATAGCATTTTCTGTTTCTTTTAAAGAAATGAGTATACTAAATGTTTTGTTAATTAACACTTGCATCTATTACATAAGCATTGATATGTTAATGGTAGACGATTATGAGATAGAGTGCATTAACATGAATATTTTGGTGCATACTGTATGTTTAAAATTGATGTTTAGAAAAACAAAAAAGATTATAAAAGCATTGTTGAGCAATTGGTTTGAGAACACCTTTAGATTTGCATGCCATCAAATAAGATATATTCAGTAATATTGTTAAGTGCTTAGGAAGGGCTTGGCCTCGGCACTTCTTAGAGCGATTTGTAAGGAAAAGGGTTCAAAGGCTATACAAGAATTTAGAGATTAAATATAACATTAAGGGTTCAGTTGAGGGTAATTAGTTTCCTTATATTTTATAGGGTAACTAATGAATGATGGCGATTGGATATAAGATAACGGTGGAGCCTGTCCTCTTCCTGTACATGTTGGCTGTGTTCATGTTATATCCAGCACTGCAGGATCTTATATATACAAAGGTATGTGTAATGTGATTGATAATCTGGAGTTACTCTACTGGTGAATTCTTTTGTTTAGAATAATTGGGTATTATGAATGGAATTTAAAGGAGTGTAAAAGAATTAAGTGGGAGCAAAAGTTTTGACATAAGTAAGATATTGTGATACATTTAATTGCATGTGTGTTAGAAACATACTTTTGTTTTAGTTAAGTGAATGAGAAAAAATGTGCAACATACAGTCATATGAGTGCAGTGTAGTTACTCAGGATCATTTGTTCATTCTTGGATAATTTATTCATACATTTAGATAAAAGTGTAAGGAGAGTATGTGATGTTGTTAAGATGCTAGATCTTAGAAAGTTTGATCATAAAAAAACCTGTTTACTAGCACTGATGTAATTTCTAACCATGGTGGAAATGTATATTCTTTCCAATATTCCAGGTGTGTCTCCAAGACTTTGCAAAAAGAATATGCCATGATTTGTACAATCCAGAAAATCGTGAGGCTCTTGATCTTGTTCAGACAGGATCATCGCACTGGGTTCTAGGGTCAACCCTCATGTTAGCTCTGCCTTCTATTGTAACAGCTCAGTTCTTGGGCTCATGGAGTGATACGTATGGCCGTAAAATACCAATGCTTTTGCCACCAGTTGGTAAGTACTTGTAAGCTGTTTTTCAAATGATAATTATCTTGTTGTGCTTTAAGATAAATCTAAAAGTAGTTCTCATATTTTTAAGCAGTGAAGGGTAGATGACTTATTTTTTTTTTTTATTTGTGATTTTCAGGTGCAATGTTTGCCAGTCTTCTCTACATCATCATGAGTGTTCACCTGTATCAGACACCTGTTAGCCTGGTCCTTCTGGCATCATTCTTGACGGGATTATGCGGAGGGTTTACGTCCTGCATTCTTACTTGCATGAGCTATGTTGCGCAGGTAATATTTCAAGTTGGTTCATTTGAGTCTTAATGCTACTGAAACAGAACTCGGTCATTCTTATTTCTATACACTGATTGTTTAGGGATTTTAATGGTAGGTGATTTTGTTTCAGGACGAGGCATCTACTCTCTTCATAGAAATTGAATTAGCTTTTTTTTATGTGAACATGTTTTGTGTGAATATAGTTATTGTTTTACTGATAGTGATTTCATTGTGCTTTTCTTCCCCTCAGTTCGTTATTATAACAGAATTAGGGACAAAGTGAAATACACAATTTTATCATTTATTTCATAGATATTCAGTCTGTATATGATGATAATTCAGTAAAAAAAGTAAAACATATTGGTAAACCAAGTAAATAATACTCCATTCCAGGTCAGCAGTTTTCGCACAAGAACTGTCCGTGTCGGGATCCTGGAAAGCATGATCTTTATGGGAGGAACCATTGGCCCTCTGCTTGGCGGTTGGGTGCAGGAGGCTGGAGGAAGACCTGCAACATTCACCGTCATTATGGCATGTCATGCAGCCATCGTCATTTACATCATACTCTGTGTTCGGAATATTCCACCAAGGTTCGTTTGTTGTCCTGTTTGTTTTGTGTATACAGGGCCTTTTGTTGGCAAATTAACAACCTAATTTGGTAGTTTGGATGATCATTCCATGATCAGGTGCATTACTATTGCTGCAAGGGATTTGTTTCCGAAACTGATGGTATTGCCTTTAGTGGTACATATGCAAAAACAGTACAGATAAGTGAAAAGTGCTGCTGGATAGTACTATTGGTATTTGATCAGAACATTCAAACCCCTTGGATCCGGATGCTTCACTGCTGGCTTGTGGGCCGGAATGCTGGCTTTAGGATTATTTGTGTGGCTGCTCTGATGGGTGTGTAGCTTGTGGGCCGGGCGCACGCGAACACTCATGTGTGGTGACAAGACTCCATTCCTCCCTTTGCAATGCTGTTTTCTCTTATTCTGTATAAGTATTTTGGTTAGTTTTTTTTTTTCCATCATCTAATGTCTATATTTGTCATTTGATTTGCTTTATCCAGATGATAATAGACTGTTTTCCTTGCACAGACTCCATATCATCTCTATAGGTAATCCATAACTCAGTGCAATAATCATGTCTAATTTTTATTTATTCATAATGTTCAATTTTCTGTAATACAACTTGTGTTGCCAGTAATTGTGGACAGGAATAAGATCTTGAGCATGGAAATAGCATCCTCCTTGGAGCCAGCTGGCACTCTTCCAGCCATGCATGGTACAGTTTAAAAGCCTACTATTACCTTTCCATATAAAGTATTAAACAAGCTTTCAGCCTCAAATTAGGGATTCCTATTCCTATCCGGTGAGCAAGTCTTTCAGTTGCTATTATTATTCTCTATCCAGGCATCCTC